CTAATAAAAAAAATAATAAAGAGGATAATATAAGTCTTTCAAAGGCTGATATAAGTACTACAGTACGTTCCCTGAAATTAATGATAATAATTATTTTTTTTCCATAAATATTTATTTTAATATTTTTTTTAATAATAATATATTTTATTATATATAAAATAATTTTTGTTATGTTTGATTTATTGATTATACATTAATTTATATAAATATATGTATATTTACCAAAGAGTTGTTCCAAATGCCAAATCTATAACTTTAGATAAAATATCGCTATATGTTTCCAAATTGACATAAGTTAAGTCATTTGGTATTAAGGAACTAGTTACATTGCTACTACTGTCCATCCCAACATGATCGCTCAATCGTTTGATAGATGGTATTAAAGATAATACCACACTAAGCATTAGGCCTCCATAAAAGTAATTCATACTTTCAGGCATTGATTCTACTCTAGCAATAATAGCCGAACTGATGTCCAGCACCGATAGTTCAGCCTTTTTTATATCACGTCGTGTCCATATAGTACATGAGACTAAAATATATAGAATTCTTTTTTATTAAATAATAGATTACATTTATTGTTAATTAATTTTAAATTTTTAAATTTTATATCTATATTATTATAATTTAATATGTTACCACGATCATATGAAGCACAGTTAGAGCTAAGCATCATTGAAGGTGGTAATTCAAATTCCCAAGAAAAAGGATGTTCAACAAATTCTCCATAATTTTTATTAGTTTCACTATGTAGATCGGATTCTTCAAGTTCTGAACTATAAAAAATTTCAATTTTAAAACGAATTTTATTATTAAATTATATTAATTGATATAATAACATAATGTATATATTTTTATATAAATATCAACAAAAATTAATACTCATTATCTCATTTGTTTTGATTTTTTTTTTATTAAATAATAATCTTTTTTTTATTAAAACAAATTATTAAGCTATTTTGTACAATTTTATAATATAATATTTTATAAAATTTAAATAATAAATTTAGTAATTTTAATTATAATTATAAATAAACAATTAAATTCTTGAATAAAAATATATATAATGACTATTTTATATTAATAGAAATATATTTTTATTTATTATATATAGAATTTTTTCATTAAATATAATTTCAATTAATTAATCAATTAACAAGATTAATTATATAAAATTTAATAATATATATATAATTAATTTCATATATTTCAACAATATTTAAGTATTCACCTGTAACTACATTCATCACTATTTGTAGTCACTCCCATCCATTCTGTTGCAGATGTTGTAGCTTCAGTTAAATGATTTGTAACTGTTTCTTCACATTCTCCTTCTTCTTCACTTTCACATTGCTGGCGTCCTTCTCTTGATCCTATTCCCAGACATTGATCTTTATCCTTTAAATAATAACTCAACAAATTTTAATATATTTGTATTTTATTACAAAAATAAAATAGATTTATAAAATGTATTCATTTAATATAATGAAATATATTAAGAAAAAATTAAGATGAACTAATATTCTAAAATATTTTGTAATATACTTAAATTATAATAAAAAATCAAATATTATTTTCATTGAATACCCAACTTTAAAAATTGTAAACATAATTTATAAAAATATTATATATATATATTATTAAAAAATAATTAATATATTAGAAAAAAATTAAAAAAGATATACATTAATTATTAAAATTATAAAATTATTTGTATATTTATTAATATATTTTTATGTATATAATAAAAAAATATAAATTTTTAATATAAATTAAATATAAATATAAAATTAAGTAAAAATATAAAATAGTTGTAAATTAATTTTAATTAGTACTATAAATTGTAATTAACATCATAAAAAAATTGAACGAATTTTTTTTTCAATATTATATTATTTAAAAAATCAAATTTACATTATTTGTAAATTAATAATATCAATAATAAAAAAAATAAATTATGTTATTATATTTATATTTATATTATATATTATATATTAAGTTAGAAATTAAATATTTACCATCTTATTAGAAGTTTCTGGTTCGCTATTTGAAGAATTGTCTCGTGCTTTTAACAATTCAGATGCTGCGTGGAAAGTGGAAGACAATCATTTTAGCTAATAGGCCATTTTACCTTTCCAACAAAGATTAAAGCGTGTTAGCAGTTCAAAACATATAATAAATATCTAATGAGTAAAGTAAATAAAAAGAAAATAAATTGTTACAAAAAAAAATCTAATGAATAAATACATATATATTTACAATATAAAAAAACATTATTTTAAATAATTATATAACATTTTGCATTAATATATTATAAATAATATATTTTAAATAATTATATAGCATTTGCATTAATATTATATATAATAAAATAATTATAAAAAATATTTAAATCAAATTTGTTGCAAATCAAACCTGAAAATTTTGATTGCAAAACTTGACTTGTAGAATCTTCTAACCAAAGAATGCGTTCTTCGTTATTTTTAAGTAAATCCCTTTTCTGTTTAAGTTTCTCTACTGTTGCTTGTGTAGTACTTTTATCATTATCACTAGATACATTTCCATTTAAACTTTCAAATCCATCATCATCTTGATGTACATGTTTCATACTTTGATCTGGAACTTCATCTATGAAAAAAAATATACTGTACATTTAAACAAAAATATATGATTAATAGCAAAACAGAAAGTTTTAGTACTGTATTAACTTGATTGTGTATGACTAGTTGAAGCCTCATTCATGGATAAAGAATTGTTTACAGTCACATTTATTGGGTCATTATCACAAAATGCTTGAACAGTCACAAATTCCTATAAAAATAAATTATTATATATAAATTTTTTAAATTTACTTTTATATGTTTTAAATAATGAATTATAATTACCTGTGATCGATTGACAGTCAAAGAATTTTCAATTACAACTTTTTTAGCAAATCGTACAGATGTTAATACTTCATCACTTACTGTACTAGCTTTTTCAGATGCTGTATCTTGAGATGATTTAGAATCTTCATGCAAACCTATAAAGTACATAATAAATAAAAATTGTAATAAATATAAATTCACAGATTTATTATAATAATTATATAATTTTATAATATAATAAAAACTTACGCAAGTTTTGTCTTGTTCTTGATTTACCCATTCGACATCTAGTATGTCGTAAACGTCTTACTATTTTTTGTTTATTTTGTCCATCACCTATCATTGGTCCTGAATGAGTTGATACAATATGAGAATGAACAATGCATAAGGTCAACATCATAATAAGAGGTATTAATACTTCTGATGTTGATATAATCTATAAATATATATATATATAAATATATATATATATAATCAACATATATATATATACATACATATACAGAAATATATATATATATATGTATAACTAATACTTAATAATTAAATAATTCGTACATCACTTTCATTGTCCTTCATCATTTGACAAAAATATATACACATATTGATTAACTGCAAACTATATAATAATAAAAATAAAGTAAAAATTTTTAAACTAGTCTGTTGTATCCACCATTTCCTATATAAAGGAAGAAATAATAAACGCTGAAGTGCTAAACAAGCCACTGTTGACAATCCATGTTTTGGTTTAGCTTTTGGGAAAGAAGAACCTGTATATATTAATATTATTTAAGATTAAATAATTATAAAATAGAATATTAATTATAAGAATAATTATATCATAAAGTAATTTAATATAATGAAATCTTAATTATAATTTTTTATTTAATTTATTACCTCGTACAAGATCTACATCAATAAGTTCTGTTTTTAATTTTGCAGTTCTCATTGGTACATGTGTAAATCCTCCAAGAATATGTTGTTCCACAGTTTTTTCCCATTGTTGCTTGTCATAGGTACCAATTTTTTTTTGATACCTAAAATATTAGAATTGTACAATATATAAACAATTACATAGTTTTGATTGAAATTTGATAAATAGAATAAAAATATCTTACCAATAAACGAGCTCATTCAGTTTCATTTTTGTTGATCGCTATCGTAGTTGTACAGAATGACTGTTAATTTTTAATCTTAACCAATAATTGACAATATTTGTGCAAACGGAAGATGATTTTCCGTATACTTTTATTAGTAAATTTAAAAAAAATATTGCTCCCATAATATATAATAATTGTTATTTATTACAAAAAATGTTTTTAATTTAGATATTTCAACAAATGATAAACATAAAATACGAACATTTACAATACATTTAATAATTTTACGCCATTGCCTAGAAACAAAATGTTCAGAAGGTTCCTAGCAATAATTGTGCCAATCAAATAAAATTGATTTTAATCTATGAATGATTATGATTATTGTAAAATACTTTTATTTGAAATAATTTCTATGTGTATGGTATTTTTTATAGTAAATGTATTTGCTATTAAAATTGATTCATGAATAGTAACAGCAATACTATGTTACAACATTGCGAAATACAATGTTACTACCAATCCAGAATAATATGCAAAAAACAATAATTTCATTGGTTGTTAATTTAAATAATCTTTATTTTCATTAAAATAATTTTGATTTTTTTTTAACTATTAAATATTCAAATTCGTGATTTATATTATATTTTTTAAAAATTAAAAAGAATTAAAACAGGAAAATTAAATATCAATATTTTCAAATTATTAATTTAATATATCTATTTTGTATTACCACAATTTTTCTTAATAATTTTAGCGAAAACTTATATTGCTATAAAAATGTAATAAAAACTAAATTGTATATAAAAAATTCGAATACTTTACTAAATACTTAATTTAATTCATTTTGATGTATTATATTTAAAAAAATCATAGAATGAAAATTTTATTAAAAATAAAATTTATGAATTATATATATTTAAATATTTTAATATGTATAAAATAGTAAATATTTGTGTTTATTTTTTCCTCTCTTTCATTTTATAAATAAGAATTAAATTATATATTTTTAATGGAATTAAAAACATATGATTCAATATTATAAAGTGAGCATGTTCCAAATAATGTCAAAGTACAATAGATAGAAATAAATCGTATATTATACCGGAATAATTGCCGGTTTGTAAGAATTTTTAATGTCATTATCAAGTAATGTCACATTATTATTTTATTTTACATAAATTTACACTATAATTAATAAAATCTGAAATGATTAAATAATCAAAATGTTTCTTTTTGATATGTGGTTATATTTTGGCCTTTTATTTTGGGTAAATGGACTACGCGAATACGAAAAGAAAGATTTAATTACTCTAAGAGAAGAAGTACGATCTATGTTTGATCATGCTTATTCAAGTTATTTGACATATGCTTATCCTTACGATGAATTGCGATCATTAAGTTGCGATGGATTCGATACATGGGGTAGTTTTTCATTAACACTTATCGATGCTTTGGATACTCTTGCCGTAATGGGCAATTTTTCTGAATTTCGACGTGTAGCAGAAATTATAAGTGCAAGAGCAAATTTTGAAGCTAATATTAATGTATCTGTATTTGAAACTAATATAAGAGTAGTTGGAGGATTACTTAGTGCTCATCTCTTGTCACATAAAGCAGGCATTCACTTGGAACCAGGATGGCCTTGTAATGGTCCATTATTACGTCTTGCTGAAGACATGGCAAAACGTTTAATTGCAGCTTTTGACACTCCAACAGGTATGCCATATGGTACTGTTAATTTGAAATATGGAGTACCTGAAGGTGAAACAAGTATTACTTGTACTGCTGGAATAGGTACATTTTTATTAGAATTTGGAACATTGTCCAGATTAACAGGAGATCCACTATATGAAGAAGTAGCTATGAATGCTATTAAAGCATTACATTATTATAAATCAAATATTGGATTAGTAGGTAACCATGTAGATGTATTAACAGGTCATTGGACAGCTCAAGATTCTGGAATTGGTGCAGGAGTTGATTCTTACTTTGAATATTTAGCAAAAGGTACATTATTATTTCAAGAACCACTATTAGGAACAATATTTCATGAGCACAAAGCGGCTATTGAAAAATATATTCGCAGAGAAGATTGGCATTTATGGGTTTCTATGACAAAAGGTCAAGTAACTTTACCAGTATTTCAATCTTTGGATGCATATTGGCCTGGAGTATTAAGTTTATTTGGTGAAATTGGAGATGCTATGAAATCATTACATAATTATCATCGTGTTTGGAAACAATTTGGATTCACACCAGAATTTTATAATATACCACAAGCTGAAGCAGGTACTAATAGAGAAGGATATCCATTAAGACCAGAACTCATAGAATCAGTTATGTATTTATATAGAGCAACTGGAGATCCTTATTTAATACAAGTAGGAGTAGATATATTAAGAAGTTTGCAACATAGTGCTAAAACTACATGTGGCTATGCAACTATTAATGATGTTAGAGATCATCGAAAAGCTGATAGAATGGAATCTTTTTTTTTGGCAGAGACAACAAAATATCTTTATCTTCTTTTTGATCCTGATAATTTTATTCATAATTCTGGTCAAAAAGGAGAAATTATTGAAACACAATGGGGTCAATGTATTATTGATGCAGGAGGATATATTTTTAATACTGAAGCACATCCTATTGATCCTGGAGCACTATATTGTTGTCATAGAAGCCAGAATTTATTTTCAGATCAGAAAGCAACATTATGGAAATTTATTCCTGTAAATGATCAAAAAGAAAAAGATAATACAGAACATAATATATTCCATTTAAAAAATATTAAAAATGAAAATAATGAAGAATCAATTGAAATTGTAAAACTATCTGAAATGAGGCATACTTTTACAAATGATATAGAAAATAACATTGATGAAAAATCAATCAATCCTTTATCAGCTATAAATGGTAAAGTAGATGAAACTATAAGAATAGAAGAAGATAAAATAAACATAAATAATCCAGAAGAAGAGTCTTTAAAAGTACAAGTTGCTGCACCTCCCTCAGGAATTTATAAAGTTGATGATAGTGAAAATATTGATACTTATGAAACTTATAGTACTTCTGATGAACATTATTCTACCCCTGCTATGATAAACAATAATGAATCATTTATTAAACAAAATAATATAAAATTAAGATTTGAACCTCAATTATTACTTGAAAATATTAGAAAAAAAAATTTATATCCAACAAATAATACTGCAAAATTAAATTATCATCTTTTGTCTTGTCAATCTCAGTCATTCCTACAGCGAATATCGATTATAGGAGAATTTTTTTAATATTATTTTAAATATTAAAAAAATATATAAAAAATATATAAAAATTATATATGTATATATATACATAAATTCTAATATAATTATAAATATAAATTAATGTATAATTCCTATATCTTTTTTTTGTTTATTTTAAGAATAATTTTTATATTTTAATAGTAATTGTCATTAATAATTAATAATTAATAATAATAATATAATAATTATATATATAATTACTCACAAAATTGAATATATATTTATATTGCTAATAATGCTATAAATAATATAAAAATAAATACATAATAAACATATATTCGAAAGTAAAATAACAATATATATATTACACACAATATATATATTTTATTTATATATTTTACAAATAATTCATAAGAAAGTTTTTAAATAAAATGAATCATTTATTTATATTTACATAACAAAAAATGTAAAAATATTATTATTTTTGTGATATAAAATTGAATATATACGTAAAAAGTTAGCTAAAAACTTAATTTTACAAAAAATTATATTATAATATTTATAAAATCGTTTTATTATATATATCAATTTATTGCTAAAATATTTTTTTTTCTTTCTTTATCATAATCTTTAATTTTTAATAATTAATAATTTCTGAGAGAAAAAAATGAATATTTGTATACAAAATTATTTATATTTATATGCAAAAATAAAATTATATTTTGTGAAATTAAAAGTAGCATTGCAACATAATATAATTCGCAATCTTATATAAATTATTATTTATATAGATTATTGCTTATATTAAAGGGTTGCCGTATGAAGATACATTACATTAAAAATGGCTATAGAAAAGAATTTTTGCAGAGAATATGTAACATCACATTTATATTTATATATACTTATATTTATATATACATATTTCCTATACTTAAATTAAGTATTTAGATTAGATATTTTTTAAAGAAAATTTGTTAAGAATTATTAATAATTTGAAGTAAAAAGTAAATATATTTTTCATGTTAACTAATTTATTTTTATAATTTAATATTTTAAAATTTGTTTCTTTTTTTATTTTATATTAACTTTTATTAATTTTCTTTTTAAAAATGCAATAAATTGTTACACTTAATTGAACAAAATTGAATTAATTCTTTATATTTGCATTATCGTATAAATATTTGAATATATTGATGTAATTAGCTTTAAAAAATTATATCTTTATTATATTTTATAAATATTTAAAGAAATTAATTAATGTTATTGATATATAAAACAAATAAGATATATTATTTATATAAAAATTTGTATTTGTAACAAAATAGATAAAGATTTTTTAAATATCTTATTGTTTCTTATATGTCTTGTTGAATAATAACAATATTTAACATTCAGTTAATTTTTTTTTTAATGATTTTACATTATATTTAAAGTTATAATCTTGTATATTCTAATATACGATTCAGAAATTTTATTTTTGCAAAATTTTATTAATTTTCATTAAATTAACTATTTTATTTACACTAAAACAGAAAATTTACATTACATCAAATACATCTTAATAATCTATTATACATACAAAAAAAAGAAATTGCGTTGTATTATGTATAAAACATAATTAGAAAAGAGTAATAAATATAATAAATATGCATTGAAATAATTTTTGATTTTTTATTAACATTTTATTAACATTTTTTATTAACATTTATTAACATTTCTTATGATCCTGTAATTATATAATTATCTATTTTTATTTTATATTAAAAATCAATTTTTAAATTATTAATATTTATTTATATTATTTAATTATTTAATTAAAGTTTTATTTTATAATAGAATAAATTCGTATTTTATAAAAAATATATATAAACGAAAATTTAACTTTTTAATGTATTGCTGGTTGTTTGATCCAAAATCCCCAAGTAGCAAATTGTTCCCCATCTTGTTCTCTGTCTGCACTTCGAAATACTTTTATTTTTACACGCGGAACTTCATCTAAAAATAAAGAAATTAAAATATAAAATATATAAAAATATATAAAATTGAATTAATATTTAAATGATAAAACTTAAACGAAATTGAAATGAAATTTAAATTTAACATATCAAATTGCTATTATAATAAATAATTACTATTATAATAATAAAATTTAAAAATTATAAAATTATAAAATAAATATATAAAATAAATTATTTTACTTTATTTTATATTTTAATTTTATACTTATCGTAATGTACGCATAACAATATTGAAAATAAATGTAAAGAAAATAATAAAATTAATAAAATTTCGTGTGACAAAATATGTTAGATAATTTTAATTAATTTATAAATAATTATGTGAAGATATATGTGATGAATATATGTATTTTCAATCTTACCAATTTCCATAGCGTCATTTTGTATAAATGTTTCTTTTGTACTATTTTTTGCATTTACAAAAATAATTAATGTAAGAAAATAAAATAAGCTAACAATTTTCTGAAAGAATAAAAACATTTTTGTTTAAAATAGAAAAAATATTATTAATCTATATTATACTCTAATATAATATTATTTAACTTACCAATAGTTTCATAATGATAAATATAAATTTAATGATATTTCCCGATGGAAACGAACTCTTTATATAGCCATAAAGAGCATTTAGAGCATAACCGAACCAGATATTTATGGTTTTCAGATACTTTTTGTTGCAGAGAAAGTTACTTTTTCTTTTTTTTACAAATAAGAGTGAAAATATTAAAATAAATAGAAATTATATATTAAAATATAGATTATAAATTTTATTAATTAAAATAACAAAAAACGATTAAATTTATTTTTATTTTCAAATTTTTATTTTAGTTTTCCATTTTTTATTTTAGTTTTGCTTGAAAAGTTGAAAATAAAAAAAAGAAAGAAAAGGCATTAAAATAATTTTCAAATTATTTTTAACAAACTACAAACTTTAATTCGTTTAATTTGTCAATAATATTTCTATGAATAGAAATTATTTTATCAAAAAATTAATTATATTATTTTTTCTATTATATTGATCAAATATGATTTGATTTAAATACTATATATTTTTAAAAAAAATTATTATTTCTTTCTTATTTTGAACATTATATAGAGAAATCTTAAATATTTGATGAAAGCAAATAGCGCATGTGTAAAATTTTGATAATATATTTTCATTTTTTTTATACATATATTTATACATGTATATATTTATTTTATCTATATATACATATATAAATTATATATTATATACATATAGGTGTACAATTTATACATATATATATATATATGTATATCCAAGGAAGCCCATTTTACATCGTTTTATAATATCTATATATTTTTATTGAACTACAACATTAATGAGATTGTTTTTGATATCGCGAAAAATATTTATGTTTTCGAGTAAGTCCTTTAAAAGCGCGAATAAATATAACAATCCTTGCATACAAATATTAATTAAATATCATCAATTTTTAAATCATAAAATAATTTATAAACTAATATGAATATTTACACATTGCTAAATATCTATAATTAAAAGCAAAATTGATAAATAATCATATTTGACATATTCAATTATTACAGAAATTCTATATATTTTCATTCGATATTTTACATATATATATTTTTTAATAAAAAAATGGTATATAAATTAAACTTCTAATTATTTCATATTAAACATATTATTTTTTTTATTTCTGACATCTTTCTGATTATTTTATTGATTTTATATGTATATATGTATATTTTTAATTTTTTTACTAACAAAAACATTTTCTTCTAATCAATTTAAGAAAAAGACTTAAAAAAAATATCACTTTTAATAGTTATTATGATCAGAACATTTTGTAAAAAAAAAAAAAAATAAATAAAAAAATAAAAATAAAATACACCGAAATATCTGATTAATAAATTTATATTGTCAAAAAGAAGCTTTTATTTCAACTTAAAAACGGACATTTTTTTATACGTTACAATCAAATATTTTTTTCACATCGTATTAAATAGTTTTTAAGATCAAGTAAAATTTAAAGAATATTTTTATATTTAAATTTAAAGAATATTAATGTATCTAAAATTATAGATAACATTATATTATAAATGTTTTATAAAATAAACATTCTATATTATTTAAAATCAATAACATGTACTTTTATGTACATATAGATGGTGATTAATATTCAGTGATTAGAAAATATTAATTGAATTGTTATAACATGAATATTTTTTTAAATTCAATTATGACATTTTTATACGCCATATTTAATTTTATTTAATGTTTATTTCTTTCTTTTTTTGGTCAGCAATTATAATGAAAACTGTATTATACATTTGATTTAAATAAGAAATTGACATTATATATATATATATATATATATATATATGATATCAATTTTATTTTTCTTTTTTCTCTCTCTTTTTTTTTTTTGAAATATTTTCTTTTAAATAAAAGGCAATATTATGTTTTTAATTTACTTTGAATATATAATGATGTTTAAAGAAGAAAATAATTCCTCGAGAAAAAGAAAAAGATACTAAAATAATTTGCGTATGGTTTTTAAATACTTATATATTAAATTTGATCATAGCCTTAATAATTAACACTTAACTTCTATAATTCTTCAATATAACGTTTAATATCATTGACAAAAATTTCCTTCGATCAATAGATCGTATTATATTAATTTATCATTATCATCTTGGAAGACATCATTGGAAGACTCGTTTCATAAATATTATCGTTTCATCATTTAAATAATATACTTTTGTAACTGCGAGATCCTCTTTTTTTCTTATTTTCGATATTTATTTAAAAAAAAAATTACGATCGAAAAAAAATCATTGAAATGAAAAAAATATAAATAGAATTCTATTAAATAATGTTAATATTATTTTAACTATATATTAAAGCTAATCTCGTTATAATAATATTCATATATGTTTTGTTCCTTCTAATTTTTCATTTCGTTTTACCTATACTTTGCTTATAAAACATTTAAATAATATTAGACCGATATTCAATTCTTGATATTAATACCATACTTTCAACTTTTACTCACATATATCGCTAAAGCTTAAATCGAAAAACGTGATATCTTTTTAAATCGTAAAAATTAATATAACAATTGTTGCTGCTCGATACTTCTTGTAAATTGTATTCATCAGAATCATTTGACTTTTTCTCTTGTTTTTCTCTTCACATACATAATATGTAATGCTAAGCGAAAAAAAAATTTCTAATGGACATGGATATGTTTAAGATTTAAAGAAACAATTGAAACAGCAACAATTGTATATATTCATATCTACGCAAAAACTTAAAATTCTTAATACATGTATAATATTTAAATCAATTCAACTTGAGAGCATCTCGCAGCTTCCTCCGAATTACTAGTTCATCTACATTCATATTGCTCAAACTAACGTGAACTATGCAGACCTATAAAGGCCTTTGGAAGACGTTGGATTATACAACTAATTGTACTCGTTCGTACATAACTTGATTACATATGTATTTGCATTCGCTTGGATGACGAGGAGACGTTAGTAGAGAGTATATTATGTGCTATAACTTGTTAAACGCGTTGGCAGCTAAAATCCTCAAGTTTTAACCATAATACGAAACGTTGTCATCTTCTCTTCTTTTTCGCTCAATGAAATCGACTAAACTGTACCACTAAATTGTATATTTAACAATGAAAACGCCTCCTCGATCGCAGCGTGATTAATCAACGTGTAGATAGAAATTACAAGACCCGCAATCATGATTATAAAATCCCGAAATCTGCATAACAGTAGTTAACTTGTACGTACAATATATACGCTTTTGTAAACGTATTATGGAAGACATCGATCACTTACAACCAGCAATAATATGTATTGTCATGTTTACTGCGTACTGAATAGTAGTCTATATGTTGCCTAGAAAGCCCCTGAATCTCGACGATTTTTCTTAATGAAGAAAGGAAGATGTAGAAACCAGAGAGAAGGATGTAGAAGAACACACGTCCAAGCCGAACTGTATACGCGAATAGATCTTTTTTTTTTTTTTTCTTTTTTTTCATTTTTCTTCTACTAAATTTTCTCATCTTAAATAGATCATTTGCTAGATATGTGTAAGTTCTGGTTGAATATAAATATACAATCTCAAAACATCTCTTTTGTATAGCTTTCGATCGAACGAATTTTTATATCTACTTGATCGAGCGAAATGAGATATATTTTTCTTTTTCCTTTTTTTTTTTTTTTTTTTTTTTTTTTTATATAGAATTTCCCTAAGCGTTGATACGCAATTATATTATATATTTTTTTTTTTTCTTCCTTATATACGATTAACGTTAAAAACATTCGAAACCAGCAAAAATATAGACGTCGTCGCGTTGATTGAATTATATTTTCAAGGGAATTTTTATTAGCGGATTGTACACTGCAACCCCTATAAGTGATACGTACGAAGATTTCGTACGTGTGTGTATTATTCAATTACATGCGTGATACATGTAATAAGATAATGATTGAATATTAATGAAATCACCGTTTCAACGTAACGCTAAGAATCAATTGACGCAAGCTATAATTCGATGGTTTCCTTAAGCATTAATGTATCTACACGTGTAATATCATTCTTCTGTTTCCGTAAAAGAGGCGAGTGAAGATGGAATAATGATGAATAACGTTCACGAGCGCTCGTTCAAAACGGTAAACCTATTTCAAAGGCATTGATCAAGGCGGAGCCTGAATCGTATACACCGATCACGCCGAAAAGAACTCCGAGAAAAATCACGAAGCAATCGTAGGCGACCGCGCTCCATTCCATGGAATTTCTCTTCAGTTTCAAATGAAAGTAACAGGGCCATATAAACGACAACATGGTACCGGTGAAAGAGCCTATGAAACCCATAAGGATACTGAAATGCGGTATAAATATTGCCATAAGAATGGTGAAAACGATCACGCCAATTCTCCACGCCAGACCCCAAACTTTCAATTCACGGTCCACGGTCCATATCGTTGGAAAATAGGTTTTCGGTTTACCTCTGAAGAATGCCCGCTCGAGGAGCTCGCAGGCCGCGTAATAAGGTAATGGATACGATAGCATGGCCTTGATGACCAAGCAGAAATTCACCAGACCTTTGAAACCGGCCGAGTGTAAATTATTCGTGATCACTTGCTGCGTATCGTTTTGGAAAGTTAGAAAACAGATCCAACCGAAGAGCGATTTAAACGCGGCGGCCGCGATGTGACTCCAATTCAACATCCAATCGAACTTCGAACGATCGATCAGATTGCCCTCCAGCGTGGGTAGAAATATTTGCGAGGTATAACTGAACACGATCACGCCAAGAGAGATCGGGAAATTCTCCAGATCGATCGTCCATTTCACTTTGGACCAACCCCAATCACCGATCTCTAAGAGGCAATAACCGACGATGATGGCGTTTATGAACAAATGAGACATCGTGCACCAAAAGCTGAGCACCGAGACGTGTTGCAGAGACTTGAGGAAACCGAGGGGCAGTAAAAATATTCCAGTTAGCATCATCCAACTTCTAGTATCGATTGCGCCTTCCGGGAAAGTTCCTATCATGAGATCACCGCAGACGACCACGTATAGGATGCAAGTCATTAGCAGTTCGATGATCTGCGCGATATTCACCGCTCTGGCACCCCAAGTAGGTCCGAAACATTCTTTGGCGATTGCCACATACGAGTCTCGTACGCGTACGCGTTGTCCAGTTGTCGTGTCAAGTTCGTACAAACATTCGACGAGTATCTTGCCAGTGTAACAACAGATATGCGCAATACCGATCATTGCGGCGATAGCCCAATAACCGCCTCGTAATACAGCGAATGGCAATGACACGATAAACATACCCTGAAAGAAGAATAGATGAAGATTTCTTTTCGATTTTCCTCTGTCCTGTATGACTTAAAGAATTGAATGAATCGCGAAATAAAAAATACCTGTATAGCATTTGTAACATTCCACGCAGCCTGCCATTCATTGATTTTTACTCCTGAACCAAATTCGCCGCCACCTTCATCATATTCGCTAAATTCACCGCTACTTACACTTCCCGTTCTAACTTTGTCCCTGTAATATCAAATTGCATATATCTCGAAATAAAATGTAATATTTATAATATTGTTGCTTAATTAAAAAAATTGATGATGTTCAATATATATATATATATATATATATTTTTTTTTTGAAGAAAGAAAATTTTGGAAAAACAAAAAAAGAATAGAGTTAAGAGATTTCTTTTTATCTATTGTAATATTATCATTTTATTTTACACACTCGTTTATTTACCCGTTTCTTTGATAGCTGAAGGAATCCTCAGCGATGGCTACGTTATTCTGGTCCCGATACGCTTGATCTCCATTCATAGTCATCATTTCCGTATTATCATGGCCTTCGTCGAACGATTTGAACTGTGCATGTCCACTTTGTCCCGGTGCTTGTTTTTGATCTGGACCACTGCCACGGATAAGCTCCATACAGGGGCTGTTCTCTGGCCATTTAGCTTTCAATGTTTCCCAGGCAACGTTAAATGTTGCTCCCAAAGTTGGTATGTAGAATCCGCGAAAATGAGCCATTGTTTAACTCGTTACTTCTGAAAGAAAATTAATTTTACAATCTTCGTTAAAATATGCATATGGAATCTAATATAATTACAAGTTAGCATTTAAATTCAGCCAATTATTCAATATTCGTTACAGAATAATTCACATTTCTCTGGCATATACAAAATGATGAAATGCCAATATAGAAATGTAATTTAAGAGGAACATATTCGATTAACTTTTAATTTGAAAAGTTTATAATAAGATATTTTTATAACAAAATTTTTCACACCTTATTTTAAACACTTTGATTTCGAAATTTTTTTTCAATTAATTCTTTCGTTTTAGAAAAATATTATTAAAAAAATATTAGATGTATTAAATTGTATACAAGTCATTTTGATTGAATAAGAAGAATGTACATATAACTTAACACGATTCCATTTGACTTTAAACTCAACCAAGATATTCTTCGTACGCATATAATCAAATTTAAACGTGTACTCCATAAATTTTTTAATAATTAATTTAATCGTTCTCCATGCATTTCCAAACTTTTCAATATTAATATAACTCTGATATGTTCCTCTGTTTTTCCCATGCTATTGAAATATCGGTCAAAATGTCAATTTCTTGCTTTCACTTACCGTAACGAAATTTTAGGCAGACGTAATTTCCTTCACCTCGAGTTTCTTTTAATTTTTATCTCCCCGATTTTTTTGCAGGTGGAGCGAAAGGCTTAAACTAAAAGAAAGGATTCAGCATTCAGCAGCGGCGGCGATCCGAAGAACGGAAATAGTTGAAAAATAAAGGGTACGAAACCGTCTAACTACGTGGGCTACGACACCGCATGGTCGTCTACGGTCTACCGCGATCCTCGAGTCCCTAATCGCGAGCCCTTAATCGCGACATAGACTACGGGATTGGCGTGTCAGGGGTTGGAACATCAGAAGAATATGGCCAGCATCCCTCGAACGCGCAAGTCTCGATCGATGTGGTCCATGAGGCATCTCTCGACATATCAGTACTGTAGTTTAAAGTTAGATCTCCCCACGTGAAATGAAAGGAAAAACCGAGATTCCAGAGAGCGGTAATTGTCAGTTGTCCACTGATTGGAGACTTCTGATGGGGAATTTGTCATATGTATTATATCTATTAATTTGAGTCAATTGTATATTTCTTAAGACATCTAAGGGATTTCTTGTTGATATTAAAAAAAATATCGAAATTTGAAAAAAAGAATTCATTGTTGGTATCATGGAAGTACATTTGATAAGACGAGACTGATATCAAAACTTGCAAAAAGTTGCAATTCGGGCGAGCGTTTTTTAAATAGCAAATCTTCTTATAGAAATTGATAATACATATATTTTAGAATTTGATAATTTTGAAGGGAGATAATTTTGAAAATAAATTAATAAATTAATAAAATTAATAAATATTATTAATAAATATAAATTAAATTAATTTTTTGTTTTTAGATATTTGAATTTGAAAATATATTTTTTATATTAATTAGTCGTAAAATATAAAAATATGAATATAGAATAGAATAAATAATGATTTTTCAAATAATACGAGATAGAAGAATTATTAATCTTTTCTATGATAAAAATAAATGATCGTATAAGTGAATATAAAATACGTGTACTTCTTCATTTCTTTTTAAAATATATAAATAATTAATATTTGATATTTATTGTTTAAAATTCAGATAAGAATATTTTAAAAAATAAATAAAGTATATTATTTAATATCGATGAACAGGAAATAAAGTATTCAATAAAGATTGTATAATCATAATAGATTTAATTCATAATTCTAAAATAATAGGTAATGAATTTATATAAAATATTTGCATTTATAAATGAGAAAAGTTACTCAATAAAATTGATTATATACAATGATCTATGTTTTTAAAAGAATACTTGTTCATAGTTTTGAAAAATAATATTATCTACTAAGATATAATATTAAAGGTATTAATGAAAACCATAAGCAATAGTTTTTAATAAATAAAGAAATCAACTTGTTTATTATTTTATCTTAGGTATGTTACTTTTCACAGTGATAATTAATAATTCATATTAACTTTACAATCATTTGTGTCCCTGCGTTTTGTAATTCAAATTATAATAACATTCAAACAAGCGTTTCACGCATACAATATGAATACTTCATTATAATATATTGTATACAAATTAAACGCTAATTATTGGATTTAATAATTCTGATAACAATATAAGGCCGTGAGATCACAACAAAAAATGCTTTTAACTTCTACTTAGATGTACATATCAATAAATTTATAACTTAATTGTTGTAGAAGTCTTACTAATTTCCTATGATAAGAAGCTTGATTGTATTATTATCTGTAAAATTGTGTTGCAATCCAGATGCACTTGACATATTTTATTCTCATTAACTAAAAATTTCTGCTAAATTAAGTCTGTGATTTATTTTTCAGTCTTCCACTTATATTTATATAATGTATGCATTTTTTTTTTTTTTAATGAATACATATAAATCAGAAAATATGTAAATTTGGACATTTCATATGCAGGAATGACACATAGATATTATAGTAAATATACAAAGAGGAAAAGTGTTAAATTTAACACCAAAGTCGGAGGACTAATAATGTCATCAGCTTAGGCTAAGAATACAGCTAAATATTTGTCTTTAAATAATACAGTCGTAGATACCAAATTTTGTACTAACTAATTGCCCACCAAATACACTTAACACCCATAAATTTACATTAAATTGCACATAGTGATAAACAAAAAACACACAAGCAAATGCCATGAGATATATAGACATTTCTTAAAATTTTTATATAATGTTCCACAATTTTCAAATATTGTACAAATAGTACTGTGCAAATAGTTTTATCAAAGAAGTTACTTTTGTTTTATAAATCTAACTATAATCTGTAACATAACTAGGATATGACAATTAAAAATTAATTCTTTTATATAAGGATATCAATTATAACTTTAGGGTCCATGTGGAAGCTTTCATTTGTATATATAATAATAGAATATTGAATTTACTCACTGACATCTCTCTGTGTTTGATGTGAATCACTATCTGAAGTTAAACTTTCAATAGCACTATCTGGTTGTGAAATTGTTTCAGAACTCCTAGTCATACAGAGTTTATTGGATTTAGCTTCTATACGATTAGATTTAAAATTCTGATCTAAATTTGAATTTGAAGTGGAATGTAATGATACATTAGACTGAGCAGAGACAGGTCTTTGACATGAATGCAACATTAATTCTGGTCCTCCACCATATGTAGTTAAAAAAAATTGCCAGAGTTCTTCTGGTATTTGTCCATAATCTGAACCTATACATAATTATTATGTTAATATATTTATTATAAATATGTTATATATAAATTTATTGCAAATTTGAATATATTTTAATTTAAAACTTACCAACTTTAAGAATATTTTGACCATTTTTATTTATTATAATAGAATTGTTGTCAATTGGTCCAGGTGGCTGAGTCTCTTTACCACGAACGAAACTTTGCCATTGACGTAACCAAGCCATAGCCAATCCATATATAGCAGTAGGATTATCAGTATTATGATTTAATTGTTGAAATATTTCCATTTCATATTGTCTCCTTTTCTGTAATGATTCATATTTCTCTTCACAAACTGGACATTCATATAAATGTGTACATGCAGGACCTCCTCCAAATCTGAAATAATATTTTAATTAATGAACTTAAATTCCGATTAAGAAAATAATTTTTAAAAATTTAAAAAATGTATAAAATATATAATTTATATAGCACTTACGTATTATATAAATATTCCCAAACTGCTTGTGGAATAGGCATACTAAGTTTATCTACAAATTGTGCTCTAACAGGATTAACACCACCATGTGGACAAAGAAAATCAGAATTATCTATAGGTCCTGGTTCCGAAAATGTATTAAAACGATTTATCCATTGTCGTGATACAAAAAAATTCAAATCAGATAATTCTCTAGATGAAATTTCCATCAATTCCATAGTTTTATCACGCAGCTGCAACATTTCTGGTGACCACTTTTTATAAAATAACACATAAGCCTCACAATGTTTTACAGTTTCTGATGAGACTTCTGTGACACATTGATCATCAAATTCAAACCATTTATTAACAATAGGATTTAATGCATAACAAGTATAATGACCACCACCAGCTGTTCCATGATGACAAATGACTGATATTAAATCATACATTGTTACTTTGGATACACATTCCTTATGTAGATATGGTCGCATATCTAAGCCTTCTAATGGAAATGAAACATAATTTGCTATTTTTGAGCTAAACATTAATTCATGACGAAATCTTTTTAAATGGACACATAATATTTCAGGTAGCTCTAAAACTTTTGAAAATTTAATTCCATTACGCAGCTTATTACACTTCTCACAACTGTACATATTATCTCCTTTAAGTTCATCTGCACTAAAAAATGCAGAAAGACAATCATGAAGACTAACAACTGGTCCCCAGAACCAAGAACGCATCCATTGCAAAAACCATGATAGCCAACCAGATTGATTAGTCACATACACAACATCAGAACATGGCCCTGCTTTCTGTGGTGTTAAAGGTCCTTGATGTAACATATCAATATGATCTCTACTTGGAATGGGTAATGACAAATCTTGAAAAGTTTCTACTCTTGTTGAAATTCTATCACAAGTTAGACATTGTACGCTACTTAAAAGTTTTCCATCAAATATATCACTAATGATACTTCGTGTTTTCATTTGTTTTTTAGTTCTGTATTTCACAGGTGAATTTTGTGTTGATCTTTGTGGCTGAGAAAATGGTTGATCTACAGTTGATTTTTTGATGCTTCTATTTGTAAATTTACTTCTTAATTTTTCTGTCTGAGATACCCGAGAATATCTTCTTTTTGTACCACGTTCACCTTCATCACTAAGAGAACTTTGTTCACTTACTCCAGAATCACAAGTTTCATATTCAGCATCTGATTGGCTAGAACCATTTCCATCAATTTCAGTTTCATCTTCATCTGAAGATTGTTCTCCTAATCCCTTCAATCTCAATACATTGTCACGATCATCTTCTATATGTTCTTTTAATTCTTCATGTAATTGATCCATAAAACATCTTAAAAATTCTTGAGTATCATGTTGGTGATATCCTCTAAACATTGGATGAACTGTTCGAATACCAGATAATATTCCATGTGGTACAACATATCCTCTTGTTTTTCTATTCCACATATCTCGAATAAGGTTTAAATAGCTTAAACTTAAACCAGGCTTTCTATCTTTGGACATATAGCTAACCATATGACCACAATCCAAAAAGAATTGAGTCAAAGGAGGTACATTTGATAAAGCTTGAAGTGCTGCATTCATATAACATGTATTGCCAATGTTTTGAAGACCAACAAGACCTCTTGGTTTTCCAGAAAAATCTTTACTCTCATCTGAATCTGTACTATCTGGTGAATCACCAGATTTTTCATTAAATAATCTATCTTTTTCATAATTTACTCTATTTATAAGCTCTCCATAGAACCTATTTATAGAAACAAGAAAATGTTTATTTCCTAAAAACTTGTATATCAAAAATTTATAATATTTATATTTTTAAAAATATATATAAAAAACATTTATGAAAAAAATAATTATAATACTTACTTATCCAATATAAGTCGATTAAGGTCATCAGTTTTACAATCTATATTAATAGGTGCATCACCAGAAAACTTATTATTTTGTGCTTTTATATCCACTTGAGTAGGTGATATTGATGGTGATGGTACATGCCTAGTTATAACTTCTCTTTTACAAGAGTAACACCATATACGATTTGTAGAAAGATTCATATGAGCACAGTGATTAGGAAATTTTTGGTTGTGTACAGTACTATGATCCAAATGTGTTTCTGGACATCCGACCCAACGACAATCAGGAAACAAACATAACCATAAATTAGGCCCATCCGTATCACATTCACTACATTTTTTAAATCTTTCCTTTTGAGACACAACGATCTCAATAAAAGCAAGATCACCACGATTGGCGATATGAGGACAATTCCTCGAAATTAAAGGCATTTGGATTTTGATATTTGTCCTGTCGATTATTATTGATCGTAGGACGCGAAATCGCGCGTACACTTTAGTTTTTCACATTCGTCTAAATTTGGTTTACACGCGACTCGAATAAAATTATAATCATTTTCTAACCTGATTGGGACATGTCGTTCTTGGTAATCGAACATTATCCACGAAAACGATTGTCATTGGAGATAGTTGTATCCAGAAAATTAGCTATTATAATCGAATAGCCAATATAAGAGAAAGAATATAGGTTGGTGTACATGTCGATAATCGAATTGAAACTTAAAATAAATTTATACATTACTTTTCTTTTGTAAATTATATTAAAATTAAATTAAAAAAATATAATTCACATGAATTCTTATTTTAAATATATATTTATACCAAAAGTTGATAATTTATATATAGTAATATTAATTATATAATATTTATTTAAAGATATTCGTTGCGATAGATGTCGCATTGTTAGGTAAAGTATTATCAGTGAATAAAACGAATAAACCTCAAGTTGATCACCGCTGTAAATTTCTTTTAATAACCTGATTGAAAATTGAAAGAGAAGTGCACATGGATTATTAAAATACATCAATAAGTTTTTTATACTCTAATTGTATTTTAATAATATAAATAAATTATTCATCAATATTTGTGCAAATATATTCATTTTGGTAATTATAAAAAATATATTATTATACAATATTTTCAATTCTTAAAATTAACCTATATGATAAACTATTGTTTTCTATTTATCAAAATACTTGACAGAAGTAAATGTTTTCCTATTTATTTATTATTTACTTATTGATTAAAAAAATTATGAAATAAAACAAATCATTTTATATAAATATATAGAATAAAAAAAAAAGAAATTTTATTTTATAGCAATAAAAATGGTATTATCGTGCCGATTTTATAAAGAAAAATACCCAGAAGTGGAAGATGTAGTTATGGTAAATGTACGTAGCATAGCTGAAATGGGAGCATATGTACATTTATTAGAATATAATAATATAGAGGGTATGATCCTTCTTTCTGAATTATCCAGAAGACGTATTAGGTCTATTAATAAACTTATTAGAGTAGGAAAAACAGAACCAGTTGTTGTTATCAGAGTTGACAAAGAAAAAGGTAAAATATATAAAAATTTTATGAATTAAAAGTTTTTTAAATTATATATATTATATTTATTATTATATATATGTATCATTTTATTTAAAATTTTGTTAAATGGTTTAATGTAGGTTACATTGATCTTAGTAAACGACGTGTATCAGCTGAAGATGTAGAAAAATGCACAGAAAGATATGCAAAAGCAAAAGCTGTTAATTCAATTTTAAGACATGTTGCAGAATTATTACATTATGATAGTGATGATCAATTGGAGGAATTATATCAAAAAACTGCATGGCATTTTGAAGAAAAGTATAAAAAACAAAAAGCTTCTGCATATGATTTCTTTAAGCAATCAGTTCTGTACGTATAAAACAAAAACTACGAAAGGAAATATGCAATTTGCAATGTTTTAATAATTTTTAAAACATTATTACTTTAGGGATCCATCTATTTTAGCAGAATGTGGTCTCGATGATCATACAAAGGAAGTATTATTAAATAATATTAAACGAAAATTAACTTCTCAAGCAGTTAAAATTAGAGCAGATGTAGAAGTAGCTTGTTATGGTTATGAAGGAATTGATGCAGTTAAAGCTGCTTTAAAAGCTGGTTTAGCTCTTTCTACTGATGAACTTCCAATTAAAATTAATTTAATTGCACCACCATTATATGGTACATTTTTATTTTTTTTAGTTTTTCAAGATGTTCATTTTGAGATTGAAAAAAATAGTTAAAAATCATTTTATTTTTTTTATGACAACATCTACATTTTTTTTTAGTTATGACAACATCTACACCAGAAAAACAAGATGGATTAAAAGCATTAAATGATGCTATTGATGCTATCCAAAATAAAATAACATCATTGGGAGGTGTATTTAATGTACAAATGGCTGTATGTTAAATAATATTTATTATTATATATTCATGTTATGCAAATATTTATTTTATTACAACGATTTTTAATAATTTGTAGCCAAAAGTTGTTACTGCTACTGATGAAGCTGAATTAGCAAGACAAATGGAACGGGCTGAACTTGAAAATGCTGAAGTTGCTGGTGATGATGATGAAGAAGAAGTGGAAGGTATGGATGGATTTAGTGGTGGTGAAGGTGTAGAAGAAGATAAAAAACCTGGAAATGAGTCTCAAGAAGAAGAATAAATATAGAATAAATTACCATGTTTCATTTTCTGACAGTTCTTGAATCACAATCATACTTTTATAAGTGTGCTACTGCCTTACTGGACATTATGCAAAATATTTCAAATAGATATATAAAAATCAATGTATTATAATTTATATATAATTTTCTATTAACTTCATGAAATAAACAAATTAATAATATGTAAATTGTTATTAATAGAAAAATTATTGTATAATTAAGAATATATTTTTAATATTCTATTTAAGAACTTTAAATTTTAATTTTTTATATGTTAATGTTATATGTTAATTGTAATATATTATGTATTTTGTGATTTTATTAGAATATAAATGAATTTTACATAATTGATTTATTTATATTTTTATATTTTTATTAAAATCTTATACAGTTTTATTTAAATTATTCATTTGCAATAGTAACTTCTACTTCCACACCAGGTTCAATAGAAATACTTGTAATTTGTTTTACAATTTCAGATGGTGAATATAAATCAATAACTCTTTTATGAATACGCATCTGAAAACGATCCCATGTTTTTGATCCTTCACCACATGGCGTTTTACGCGTAGTTATCCTTAAAATCTTTGTAGGCATACGAACTGGACCTTTGACTTTCAGTTTTTGTTTGTTTGCTCCATTAATCAATTCCGAACAAACTAAAATAATATTTATTAAAAATATATATATATAATAATTATAATATATAAAATAATATATAAATAATAGAAAATAATTTACCTTTTTCAAGAGAGCGCACATTTCGTGAAGTTAAAGTAATCCTAATTCTGTGAATAGGAGTTACTTCTTGTCCTGGTTTTTCAGGATTGTCAACTTTTGTACTTGCCTAAAATATTATTTAATAAAGTATAAACAATAGCATTGAAACTAAAAACATGAAGTTATAAACCTCATGTTATACAGAACTAACCTAACAAATTGAATTTATTATATAAAAGAATTATAATTCATAAAAATATGTAATTAAATAAAATTTTATATTTGCAGTATAAAATTATTGAAATAACCACACACCATTGTTTAATTATTTTTCTGGTCGAGATAATCAATTTCTTTTTAAATAAAATTGATCAGCGCTGAACCAATGCATGCACACGTTGCGCGTGCTAACAGAAAGAGATAGGACATAATATAATTTCCGGTTATGTCTATATTTCAGATTTTCAAATGCTAACAAATTTTGATCCAAATACATCGATAAAAATATTTTTATAATATCCTAATTATAATATATAAACAATTCTATATATATAATAATATATATATATATTATTATATATATTTAATAATATATTAATTTATATAATAATAATATATAATTTATATATTTAATAATATATTATTAATTATATTATTAAATGTTAAATTAATCTTTGTTTTAAAATCTAAAATTAATATTTATATTTTTTTTATATTATAATTATTTAAAAATTAGGTTATTAATAAAATATATAATATTTGAATTTTATTATTAGTCTAAATTTTAATTTTTGCAATCTATATTAATCGATTAATTACAAATTTTTAACAATATTATTAAATATCATTTGTTTTAAACTTTATTATTGGTTATATATATATATTTAAATATCATCATATTTTATTATAAATTCTCTTAAATTATTTAAATTCGTTTATATATATAATAGAATCATTGTGTACTAATGTACTAATGTATATATTTTCCATATATTTTAACCAATTTTAACCAGCATTATTTTTATTTTCCTTTTAGTATTTTTATGTTAGTATGTTTAACAACTAGAATCTGAAGTATTCTCCAATAAACTTAAATGTGAATAACTTCAAGTGATCGAATTGCGCTGTCGCGTCCTTTGACACGCTTAACCGTTTATGAAAACGATTTCGCTACATTTTTGCTAACATTTTGATTGTTTTACCATGCCAAATATTTACAAGAAATTCAGAAAGTTACGTCGAAGGCGATATATTCGCACTTAGTAATAATTATAAAGTGAAAGTGTGTGAACTCCAGAAACTAAGATAGTGCCGTGTATCCATCACATATATTTGCTTTATTGATATTTTGAGTGTCACAGGCCTTGTGGTGCCTATGCATATCTTGAGGTAATACATCTTTTAATAAATATAATATTCAATATCTCCTATATAATAATGTATTTAAAAATTCTTTATTTTTATATGTATGCTAAATAGCAATACTGTTTACATTGTTTTCTTATATTTATGAACTGATCATAGACATAACCTACATGATGTGCATTATAATTTGTTTTAAAATACTTATACTGTATTTTAATACAACTAAACAATAGGTAATATATTATTTTGTTTTTTAATTAATCGATTTAAGTCATATTTTTGTTATGTGAGAAGTATATACATATGTAGAAGCTTCTATTTATTATTTGTGTTGACATAAAAACCAATATAATATATGAAATCATATATAAAAATAAAAGTTATTAATTCAATAATAAAATAAATATTGATGTTTATTCTTCTTTTTGATCAATTTAATTTTTTTTATTTATTGATTTTATATGTATTTTATTTATGATTTTGTGTTTTTCTTATTTTAATATTATAAGGGTTATATTTTCTTATATAATTATATAATTCTTTAATCATTGTATAAAAATCAATTTCATATTATAAATTATTCAATATGCATTAATTATAATTCATATTATGAAATATTAAAATATTAAAATATTTATAAGTTTCAATTGCTTAAGATATTTTATTATTAGAATGATTTTTTATTCAAAATATTAAAAAGAATAATGATATAAAATAATGACTGATAAAACATATAATATTACAGAATTTGGACGGTGTTCTAGATTATTTTAAGGATATTAAATTTCTCATATTTGGTTGAATCATTTAGCAAACATGTCAGAAATAGTTTACCCACAAGGGTGTAGGTCTGTTACGGAAGATCTTGGTCCAGATGAACTTATTAGAAGATTAAAGGTATATTTAATTCATAAATATTATCATAAATATTCGTTAAAAAAAACATAATATGAAAAGAAATAATAGATAAGTAAATAAAAATAATTGATATTGAAATTAATTAAATAGACATTAGCCCACACATTGCAAGCAATGGGCCAAGATGAAGGAATGTATCAACAATATATACCACTTGCATTGCATTTAGCAGAAGAACATTTTTTAATGCATCAAAGTAAAGATGTACAACTTCTTATTGCTTGTTGTATTGCTGATGTTTTAAGGGTTTATGCTCCAGAAGCACCATATAAAGATGCAGAACAGGTAATATAAATTTCTTATTCTTAAATTATGAAGTTTTATATGTAGAATAAATGTTAGAATAGAATTTATAAATGATTTTATCATTAAGTATTTTTTAAAAATTTTATTTTGTTTGCAAATTAAATTTAATAGCATATTAAATTTTTCTCTTTCTTTTGTAGGTTAAAACAATATTTTTATTTCTTATTAAACAATTAGCTGGTTTAAAAGATCCCAAAGATCCTGCTTTTAAAAGATATTTTTATCTTTTGGAAAACTTGGCATATGTGAAATCATTCAATATGTGTTTTGAATTAGAGGATTGTCAAGAAATCTTTTGTGCACTTTTTTCTCTTATGTTTAGGATAGTGAAGTAAGTATAATATAATTAAATATAATATAATATTTAATAAGTAATTATAATAAATAAATATATAATAAATAAATATGTAATTAATAAATTATAATTATTATTTAAATAAATATTGAATTGTAATCATATTTTTAGTGATGAACATTCTGGAAAAGTCAAGAGTTTTATGTTAGATGTATTATGTCCACTTATTACAGAATCAGACATTGTTAGCAATGAACTTTTAGACATCATACTTATGAATATTGTAGAACCAAACAAAACACAGAAGAAAAATGCATATTTACTTGCAAAAGAATTAGTGATTAAATGTAGCGACACATTAGAACCATATATTCAAGCAGTGAGTAGAATAAAATTAAAATTTTTTATTTTTTAATAATAAAAAAAGAAATACTTTTTATCTTTTAATATTCATAGTTCTTTAACCACGTATTAATCTTGGGCAAAGAAGAAAAGAGCTTACAAATTTGCAAGAAAGTATATGATTTAATTTATGAATTGAATCATATATGTCCAAGCGTCTTGTTGTCCGTCCTACCACAATTAGAATGTAAATTAAAATCTTCCTCTGAAACTGAAAGATTGGGTGCTGTAGCATTGTTAGCAAGAATGTTTTCTGAAAAAGGATCTCAATTAGCTGTGCAACATACGCAATTGTGGCGTGCATTTTTAGGAAGGTTTAATGACATCAGTGTATCAATTCGTATCAAATGTGTGCAGTATTCAATGCATTTTTTATTAAATCATCCTGAATTGAGAAAAGATATTACTGATACTTTAAAATTAAGACAACATGATGCAGATGAAAGTGTTCGATATGAAGTTGTTATGGCTATAGTGACTACTGCCAGAAGAGATTTTGAAGTGGTGTCAGACAGTGAAGATTTGTTAGAATTCGTTAAAGAAAGAACATTAGATAAAAAAGTATGTTATTTTTTATTTTTTCATGATATTTATATAGATTGTAAAATATGATATATTTTAATAATTATTTTAATTTATAGTTTAAAATCAGGAAAGAAGCAATGGCAGGATTAGCAATGATATATAAAAAACATTTAAATGATGCGGATGTACCGCAAGCTACAAAAAAGGCTGTTACTTGGATAAAAGATAAAATATTACATGGTTATTATATGGCAGGCATGGAAGATAGATTACTAGTAGAAAGATTATTAAATACTTGTTTAGTACCTTATCAATTACCAGCTGGAGAAAGAATGAAAAAATTATATCATTTATTAGGTACAATTGATGATCATGCATCTAAAGCATTTGTAGAACTGCAAAAACATCAACTTGCGTAAGTTAAAATTTTTAAAGATTTATACTTTTAAGTAAAATTTTCATTATATTTTTATATTATATTTATTTCATACTTTTATATAAAATATTATATTTTAGTGTACGGAGAGCAGTGGTTGAATGGTTAGAGATTGTAAAAAAACCAGATGCTATGGTAGAACTCGTAGCTAAAATTCATCAGATTTCTCGCTTTTTACCCGATCCTATGAAAGTACAAGAATTTTTACAGAAGTTTAGTGCTC